GTCATTGTAATAATTTCTAACAGTTGTGGTGGCCAGTCCCAATTCTTTTAGCTAGAAGCATCTGCCTGGAAGAACCTGTCGCTGGCGAAGAAACCTGCGGGGGGAACTGCGCAAAAAACGCATCCTCGTACCGGCAGCCGGTACGCTTTCTACTAGGTTTTTCTGATGTTCGGGCGACATATGGACTGGCTAGATATTCATATTATCGTTTTTGAAGTAGAAATAGAAGCATAGCCATACTTATTGTGATCAGCTCTTGCTTTGCTTATATTTTGAACAGCTTAGCCGCCAAATTTTTCAACTGCTCGAGTGAAAGAGACCACCGTTGTTAAATTTTCTACCAACGAGCCGGTGGTCACAAGTACAAGACAGCGCTGTGGTTGCATGCTGGATCATCGTTGATCTTTACTGATTTGATCCCTTTTTTCCACTTCTTTTCCTCCCAAAAAATTAAAAAGGCGTAAAAAATTAAAAAAATAATTCTTCCCCAAAATTAAAATTCCTTTTTTTGTTTTTATTTCGCAATTTTTCTCGAAAAAAAAATCGCGAAATAGATTAAATCTTTTTCAGCGCACCGGCCTCTTCGTCCAAAAATGAAATGCATGCCGAAAAAGTGGAAAATGCAGAAGATGGTGAAGAAGCTGGTGGAAGTAATACATGTCTGGAAATTCCAACACAACAAGACGATTCTCCAGCGCCCACCAAAGGTGTTTCGTGTTTCAATTTACAGCTGTTAAAAATTTACCACTGTCAACCTGGATGCTACAGTCGACTGATTCCGACCCCTAACCGCACCACGTACTGTCTGTGTTTACAGCTTAGGGATGAAACACAGGCAGCTTCTTTTTTTACATACTATTCTTCACATGATTCTTTTACATGACAAATGGTTTACATACATGTCCCACTTAACAATTTTCTTTTTATCCCTTTCGAAGTATTTCGACAGCCAAGCTAGGATCCTTCCTGATTGGTTTTGGGTACCGCAACCAGGCGAGATCATAGGAGCTGTTTTTCATGGTGTAGTGGTGGTGTATTTTGTTCAAGGAGTACATCGGGAGATAGAATGATCGCGGAAAGTTATGGTAGTAGCTAGCTGAATGGGATGTTGCACAGGGACTTCAATAAAACACTATGGAATTAAACTACGCATTCATAATTAACAAAATTTAGTACATATGATGTGGGTAGGGTCTCCAAGGCCCGTACTGTCTTTTACTAAAGTAGCTTTTAGCTGGCGGAACGTTAGCTCTTCAAAATTGGCTGAATAATTTCGTTTTCTACTGCAAATACACATATTTATCAGATGTCTTCTTAACGTAGTACACTTTCGAGTTTTACTGATGTAGATGGTGATAACTTTTCCGGAATCGCTCTGATAGAAGCTGCTACATCGGGTAATGGTGGTTACCTTATTGGTGATGCATTCATCTTTCGCTTTTCCGTTTATCCATCCAAAATAATTAGATATATCACATCCCAGGCATTGCTTGAATGGCCCTCTGACCATTTTTTGAGGGATTCTGAATCTGTTTAGGTCCAGAATTTTGACTTCTATAGGAGGGAGATTTGGCAGACAGACCATCAGGTGACGCAGCAGCTTTGGTCACGGCTAGAGCGGGTGGTTATCACTCGCCAAAACTCTACCTTGACCTTTTTTATTTTCCTTTCTTCACTACTTCACTGGATTTTGGACGGCCACCGTCCTACCTCTGGTTATTCCTTTTGCATGTAGGGTTGGTGCGACTCTTACTGGTCGACACCCTCGCTGAATGGACCGTTGTTCCTGGCCCTGGTTACTACCCTCTTCCTTTCTCCCACAGGGCCTTTGAGGCCCTTTCGTATTGCCTTTCATTTTGGTAGCGGCACACGGAAACGCATGATTCATGCGGGATTTTTGACGAAAATATTTCAACCAAATTCCTAAATAAAAAGATATAAAATGAAAAGATATAATAGGAAATGATGGAAAAAAAGAGAAAAAGAAGGAAAATGAAGGTGAGAGATGAAAATTAGGAAAATAAATAAGCAAACGAATGAATCATATTATAAATCTGTGTCCAACTTTAGCACGAAGAAGAAAAGAAAAACAGCCAACTACGGCAGCCAACACTGCGGCCGAAGACAGGGGTCCAAAAGTGGGCACATGTGACCGATGTGGTGAAGTATTCGAATCTCGGACAAAACTGTTCACTCATTTAAAAGAATCAGGACATGCAACACTGAAAGTACCAGCAGCTGGAGCAAAACTCAAACCGAATAAAAGAAAGAATAAATAAATAATTTGACTGAAAATTTATGTCGAAAGTAATTGTTTTTATATACCGAACCGGTGTCTGTGAAATGGAATTGTTGGTGTACGGGTCTTATTTGGGACAGGCAGCAAGGGGCTATGACTGATTTACCGCCTGATAAATACCACTTTCGTGCCAAGC